ACCTGAATTTGGAAGTATCTGAGAGCAATTAAATGAGCGAGCCTGAATCGAACTGAATTTGGAAATATCTCAGAATAATTAAATATAAAGTAATGTATTGCCAACGTACTTTGGATACTTTATTATTATCCATTATCTTTGCATTCAACATAACTTTAGAAAATTTAACATATAAAAATGTTTAATTTTCTTCAAAACGTTGAAAACGTAAACGCGCCTTACATTCATAAACGCATTGGAAGAGTTACCTATATTTGTGAAATAATAGCGCGATGCCATCAAATTGCTTCTCTTATATGCAATATTGAATTTCATAACTTTTATAGAATATTTAATAAGAGCATTTTTTGTATTTGAATTTATTCATGAAGAGCGAAAAAATTGTCATCTCCTCTTTAGCGCACACTATTGGGTATTTTCTTATCAAAATAATTTTACGTTTACATCCTAAAGATATGCTATAATAATTTTTTTTAATATTTTGTTTTTTTTTTCTTGTTTTTCTTTATTTATTTTTTTGTTATTACGTTTGTGCACTTACTTGATAATCTGTCAACACTTTCAAAACGTCCTTCCACTTTAGAACGTAACGAATCCAGATCGAACGGTGACGCAAGGCCATGATCAACGCTACGCGATTTACTCCTACAATCAAATGAAACAGTAGTTTTAATAATAATAATCAAACAAGAAAAAGAAACAAAGTTCAGCTTTTTCTTCTTTTTTTTTTTTTTTTTTTTTTAGAGGGGAAATAACCAAAATGAAAAATAATTTTAAATTTAATTATTTCGTTAATTCGCTAGAGAGTGTCAAAAACACAATTTGTAACCTTTGAATGTATTTTGCCCGTGTACACTTATGTATGCACTTATATGTACATGTTTGTAGATGAAAATAGAAAAAACAATTAATTTTTGCAAACGATACTTAAATGAAGCAGAAAATTGTCAACAAACAAACGAACAACGTATTATGAAATTTCATGATTGAGTTTGATTTGAACGATTGATACAGTTATAAAAAAAATAAATTGACACACAAACTTACATTACATATATAAGCTTCGTCTACATAGAGGCTTAACTAGTTAATAAATATTTATTTACTAAAATCAATGTAAACAACAATTTCGGGTTTTTTTAGGAAACTTTTCATATTACAAAAACAAAAAAAAGACTGATAAAATGAAGATGTCCTTTAAATTATTTTTTCATAACTATTTTATCCATTACCTAGCGACGAAGGTACATTAATTTTGTTGTTCCGTTCGTAACGTTTGAGTACGCGTTTCAAAATATTTATGATTCATCTATGTCCGTCTGCCCGCCAGTGACCTTTCTAAATTGCAGACCAGCATTCTATGTGAGACTGAATAAAACTTATAGTTTGTTATGTTTACAAGAAAACTTGTATTCAACTTAGGGAATAGCATTTATATTCAATCAGCACCGTGTTGGAGTAAATATTTTTATGCAAGCTGATCAACTTTTTCAAACCACACTTAAATTGAACTGAAATTGAGCATTTATATGCTAAGTTTAATTTACTAAACCAACTTTTTATCTCCATTAGGGCGGAGACGGAGTGACACACTAATTCACAATATATACTAAATAATCATTTTGTCAAATACTAAAACGGTTGTATCCTAAAATAAGCGATATATCCATATATTTATAGTAAACATATGTTTACATATTATAAGTGTGAATAAGTGTTTGATATGTTTTTAATAAAGTTCAAGTTGTATGGTTCCAAATATTACATAAGTGCTTTAATAAATAAATTTAAAACAAATAAGAAAATTATATTCAGTAGCGACCGAATCTTTTACATACACACAGCACTGTTCTGCAAAAACACTTAAAAAAGAAAAAGAAGGAAATTTTCATAGTTTATAGTATTGGGTGACCGGGGCTCGTTTTTTCCATTTTCAGTATAAAGTGAGTATTTTTATGGCGTATGTTGTTATATTTTATGAATAACAAGCGAAAAACACGAAAAGCAAAGATGATTGCAGTGTTCGTTGCATAGCCGTGCGATTGTTTGTAGGCACGTCTTTGGACCGATTTTGGCCATTTTCAAAGTCTCTCGCAGATTTGAAATCTTCATAGCTTCATTTTTGCGAACGGGAGTATAATTACCGCACCAGATACAACAAAGTTTGCAGACGGACAATTGGGCTTGCTTAGGAGCATTTTGAACTTGAAACTGACGAACAGTTTATATACTTTGTGGTTCCTAAAGCTTGCTTCTCCGCGTTAAAATTAAATTTTGATGCACTATAATATTGGGAAGGCATGATAAATTTTCCCCATTTATATACAGGTGCTACAGCATCGCCCATAATATACATAGTTTCAAATTTTTGTAGATTTATCTGTTATGGTTTAAAAGCAGTGAACAATAAAAGGAATTTTTTATTCTTTTTGAAAAACATGAATTTTTTCAGCTTACGTGGCACTGCAGGCGTGTCTGTTTAGCCAACTTACGTGGAAGAATTTCCAATGCGTCTGCCACATTTGAAGCCCATAGCCTCATTTTTGCAGCCACGAGAATGTTTACAAAAAGCATCACCCATGGGGACAGACGGACATGCTTAAATGGATTCAAAATTTGATGGCTACACTTTGTGAGGCCTCCTTCTGGGCGTTGCAAACATTTTGAGAAAATGAATACACTCTCTCATCCTCGGCCATGGGTATAAAAAAATGTTAGATGCTACTTTGTTCAATGTATTGTCCAAAGCGAACCATTACTTCTTCCACCTTTTTTGTAGAATATGAATTACACGTGAATCGAAAAGGTTGTACTTTGAGTCTCCCTAAAAGAAGAATGAATATTTGGATATAGCCATAAGAACGGAAGCATCGTTCGAAGAGACAATAAGTCATCTATTGAAACTCGTGCTAATCGGAGGGAGTAATGTCTATTGATAAGAGTGAAGAAGATAAAACATTTCCGGTTTGTATTGTGCAAATTGTGAGTTTGCACAGTCACGACATTATGACTCTTGGTATGTCGCGCCGCTGTCTCGGCCCAAATGCACTAATTATTATTGATAATTTCCTCTAATGATGGGTGATTGGAACAAGCAATAATACATCATATGCCTAGCTGATCCATCCAAAATGTGGCCACTATGGACATTCAACTTTATCGTCAAAGTTCGCCTACTTTGCATTATGGTTGGTTAGGCCTTGGATATCGCAACTCATACCCTGGTCATCACTCGTGATAATTTATCGTTCGAATTAAGCAGGAAAAGGAAGGTCTAGTTTTAAATGTTTTGCAACCTATAGTATCACTAAAGCTCTTCATTAGAAAAAGAGCGCAATCATTTATCCATCTCTTTCTCTTTGTTCCTACACATACATCTTCCTGACCATAATCGCGCTTACATGTATATGGAATTTGTTCTGAACTGTTGATCATCTAAAAAAAACTAGAATAAGTCAAGATTGATTCTTTACGAGTTGTGTCTAAGCTTGGCACACGATGACGTCCGTTTTCGCATCTGATGTATGGCCACAAATATCAGAATCTATATGCCAAGGTTTGCCTTTCTATTTCCAGATTTGGTGGGCGTGATCTTTCCAACAACGAACCTTCATCCAGTTGTGTAAGGCTACGAAAGGTTTCCCCATTGTTCGCAAATATTTATAAGCTCCAGCTGTCGCATTAGATTTTTCCAGTCAAACCCAGCCTAAGGATTCTATGGTTTACTCAATAGACAACAAGCTATAAAAAAGAGTTAGCCTCCAGTATTACGGTTTAAACGGAGTTTATTCAAATGGCCAGTCGCCTCGTGTAACAAAATGACGATCCGAAAGAACTGAAGAAAGCAAAAGAGATTGGGAGATAATGGCCGCAATCTAGTGGATGTGTGCCCAATTGCTAAGTGTTACGGCTTCACCGGCTGAACATTCGCTGTAGCTACAATCAAAGCAAACTCTACCCCACTTGAGATTTGTGTTCGCGAATATTATTTTTGATAGTCGCGATACTGTCCTATATATTTTTGAAAGTAACAAAATATTGGCAACACTGAAAAGTTCTTTTAGCATCAAATTATTTATGTCATATGCGTGATTTTATGACACAAGCCTTTCCAGGAAAACATTACCTTCGAGATTTTCACAATAATTGCTGTTAGCAATTTATGTTTAATTCCCCAACAGCCGATCCCATTTCGGTTAAATATGAAATGATAACTGGGGATGCCCAGTGAGCAGTACAAATTTCTATTATTTAGGGGGCTTATCGGTACTGGTATGAATTTAGACAATCAGAATTAGACAATCAGTACGCGTTTTGCTCGCAGGAGCACTTAATTATTTGTGGTATCTACGGAACTCATCCAAGTGCTATTTCCGGCCCTCAGGCAGGAGATTCTTTGCAAACAGGAACCCTACAAGAAGCAATGAAACAATTGTCTCTTGGGTATACGACACATATGATTCACAACGCAGTTCTGACTTATAAATCTGCGGGGTTTACTTTGCCAGGCTTAAAGTTATTCTTGGATTCCGATTATCCTTCTTTTTTTTAATATGACCAATCACTCGCGGCATTACTAATACGATGATCGTCAGAAAGAAGAGAGGAAGGAAAACGAATAGGGTGATGGGATGACTGCAGCCTAGTGGGACTATGATCGATCCACAAAATATGTGCCCCAATCATAAAATTTCACGAGAAATGACGCTTACTATCCCTGAAAAGAAGGGCTTCATTTGGGCAGCCAACGACTTTTCTGACGCAGTACTACTTGTGGAAAAGTTCTTTGTCCGATTCAAGCTGGCCAGAGACGGCCGCTGCATTTCAAGAAGTCTTTAACCAGGCTCGACGGGAAACTTTGAAATCAGAGAAAATCTCAACAATAGCAACAACTCCTTTTTCGCTCACAAAATCGACAATTTGAAATTTCGCTACAAGCACTCCGACGAATAAGAACAAATATATCACAGATGGATCTAGTTCGTTATCTGGGATTCCTAATATTGTGCGTTCAACAGCAGCCGGCTCCCCTAAATTCACTACAGCTCCATTTTCATCGCTTACCAATTTTACATTCGGCAAATCGTTACTAGCAAACATTGGTGTCTCGATAAGTTGCGCTTCTTGTACCACCAGTACCAGTACCAGTACCGCGACGTTGTGAAACTGCATCTCTAGTGTCAGTGGCACAATTTCATCGTTGATCTCCGCTTCTCATGTCACGAACGTCAATACATCCATGGGACACGATTCCTGGTTCCAAGATCATCACAGCAACGTCACCGTTTGCTAGTATTTTCAACAACTTAAATAAATCGACAACGCACTCTTTAGTATTGCTACTAGGATCACAACATCCGTGGCTGCGGTTATGGTCAGCAAAGAAAATGCAACCAGCAACTCAAATAAATCGGCTGCTTCCGATGCTGAAGATGATTACGTGTGCAATGCAGAGTTTCAGCCTATTATACAGCTACCTGAGGTAGTCCAGGTGAACACAGGCTTAGAAAATGAAATTGTCTTGGCTTGGGAAATATCAAATTGTTGCAAGACCAAGACGATGTTAATAAGTTGCGTCTTTTAATGCGGCGTGAACAAGTGCACAAGATATGTTGCAACCAACGTGTTTACAAGGATACCGCTTT